AACTCACCAGCCACTCCTCAGAAGGAAGGTTGGGCAATCTACTTCCAAAGTGATACTGCCTTAGAAACCCAAGTGAGTATTGATTTGAGTGAAGAGAAGGGCAATGTACCAAATGTGAGTGATCAACCTCATGGCATTGAGGAAGAGGAAGACATAGAGAGGTACATGGGACGTACAGACAACAAAGATGAACCCTTTGCAATACAGTACTGCATTGTCATTGAAGGCAAACACAGGTAGATTGGTGGATAGATGGGTGGACAGGGTGAACTATTAGATATGTCTATGCAGCAGGGAGTGTACCCAAGACCATGTATGTACAGGGTTGGTAGACAATGGTTCTAGAAGTGTATTGGTATGTTCTGTAAGAATTCTCAGGTATATAGTAGAAGTGACAAGGGATAAGGTTGTAGTCACTTCTTGGGCACAGCCAGCTAGTAGTTGAACAGCAAACAGTTGAACCTTTGGGCTTGGGACCATAGTCTCAGGGGACATCAAGCTCAATTGGCATAATATACTACACAAAACATTGTTCCACCTCCTACTTTTGGTGGGTAGCAACTGGGATCTTAAAAGCTTGCAAGCAGCCATCTAAATGGAATGATGGGTCTCTCCTCATCCAGAGCAAAGAATGAAGAAAACCAAAGATTCTTGGAAACTATTAGTCCTTGTGACTGGTACACCATGCAATTCTCAGCCTATACGACTATGAGACTAGAAGAACTAAATGGTGCCTGGATACCACTGCCAACCCCTCAGAGGGGGATCTGTGTAGGAGATCCTGGATAGAGAGGGCAAACAATGTGGAAAAAAAAAAACCTCAAAATAATTTGGGAGGGAAAAAAAAAGAAAAAAAAAAACCTCAAAATAATTTTGGGGAAAAAAAAAAAAAAAAGGAACCAGGTTTGCTGGTCTGATAGAGCCTGGTGGAACCACTGAGACTATGGCCTCTAGCTGCCCTTTGGGTCTGGAATTGAACCCATTCTGTGGCTTCCAGCCAAACAAAAGAGAGGTATATGAGTTGAACATTTACCTGAGGTTCACTCCTTGGAGAGAACAATCAAGGGAAAAAGAAGGGCTGTTAATGCCCAGGGAGGCAGCTCACAGGGCAGGAGTGCACAGACAGATGGACCCAGGGAAGAGGTAACTATTAGGTGGAAGTGGGAGGGGAGTTGTTGCATTGGGGTAAATTATAGTCTATGTCATGAGATAATGTGTGTGTGAACTGCTGTATGAAAAGTGAATTTGCTCTACAAACTTTCACCCAAATCACAATTAAAAAAAAAAATTGATAAGACACTGGGAAATTTAACTAAGGAAAAAAAAGGGAAGATACAAATAAGAAATGAAATGAGTGACATCACAACTGAACCGTAAATGATAATAACAGAATACTATGAAAACTACTCCAATAAATTTAGAACCTAGAGGAAATAGATTTCTAGAATCACATGACCTACCTAAACTAACACAGACTGAGGTAGAATATTTGAACTGGACCATAACAAAAGAAGAGCAGGTCATAAAAAAAACTTCCAACAACAAAAAAGTCCAGGCTCAGGCAGCTTCAGTGGAGAATTCTGCCAAACATTAAGGAAGAGCTGACATCAATTCTACTCCTATTTTTGAGCACAGAAAAGGATGGAATACTCCAAATTTATTTTATGAAGCAAGCATAAACTTGATACCAAAGTGAGGCAAAACAAAACCAAACACACTGCTGTTGAGTAGGACCCAACTCACAGCAATCCCTCCTTGGGTTTCTAAGGCAGTATCACTTTGGAAGTAGATTGCCCAACCTTCCTTCTGAGGAGTGGCTGGTGAGTTTGAACTGCCAGCCTTCTGGTTAGCAGTCAAATGCCTTAGGCACTATGCTAAATAAAGTAAAACAAAGATACCACTAAAAAAGAAATTACAGACTAATCTTGGGAATATAGACATAAAAGTCTTCAACAAAATCCTAGCTAGTACAATCCAGCACTATATCAGAAAAGTAATACTTTGTGACCAAGTGGGATTCATACCAGGTATGCAAGGATGGTTCAATATTAGAAAAACAATCAGTGTAATCCACTACATAAGTATAGCAGAAGAAAAGAACCACATGTTCATATCAATTGATGGAAAAAAAGGCATTTGATAAAATCCAACACCCATTCCTGATTTAAAACAAACAAACAAAAAAAACCTCTCAGCACAGTAGCAAAAATAGGAGTAGAAGGGAAAGTTCTCAATATAATAAAGGGCATATATGCAAAACCAACAACCAACATTATTCTCAATGGAGAGAGACTCAAAACATTACCCTTGTTAACGGGAACCAAGGAAGAATGCCCTCTATCACCACTACTATTTAACATTGCATTGGAAGTCCTAGTTAGGGCAATAGGCAAGAAAGAGAAATAAAAAGCATCCAAATTGGCAATGAAGAAGTAAAGCTATCTCTGTTTGCAGATGACATGATTCTATACATAGAAAAACCAAGAGACTCAGCAAGAAAAATACTGGAACTAATATAAAGATTCAGCAAAGTGGCAAGAAACAAGATAAACATACAAAAATCAGTTGGATTCCTCCACATCAACAAAGTGGTCTCTGAAAAGAAAATAAGGAAACAATAGCTACCAAGAAGATAAAATACTTAGGAATAAATCTTACCAAAGACATATACAAGGAAAACTACAAAACACTACTACAAGAAACTGTAAGAGACCTACATAGATGGAAGAACATACCATATCCATGCATAGGAAGATTGAACATTATGAGAATGTCAATACTACCCAAAGCATCTATAGATACAGTGCAATCCTGATCTAGATTCCATGAGCATTCTTTAAGGACCTGGAAAAACCAATCAATAATTTTATACAGAAAGGAAAGAGACCTAAGATAAACAAAGCACTACTGAAAAAGAAGAACAAAGTAAGAAGTCTCTCACCTGCTGATATCAAAACGTACCATACAGCCACAGTAATCCATCACTTGTTTGTTGTATACAGTGGCTTGCATGTTGCTGTGAGGCTGGAGGCTATGCCACCAGTGTTTCAATTACCTACAGGGTCACCCACAGCAGACAGGTTTCAGCAGAACATCCAGACTAAGACACACTCGAGAAGGAAAGGGCCATCCACTTCTCAAAGAATTGGCAGTGATAACGTTATGAATAACAGTGAAACACTGTCTTATATATTACTGGAAAACTTTATGAATAGCCCTGAAACACTTTCCTGTATATTACCAGAAGATGAGCCTCTCAGGTCAAAAGGCAATCAAATACAACTGGGGAAAAGCTGCCTCCTCAGAGTAGAGACGACCTTAATGACATGGATGGAGTAAAGCTTTTGGGACTTCTTTTTGCTGATGTAGCACAACTGAAAATGAGAAGAAACAGCTGCAAGCAACCATTAATAATTGTAACATGGAATGTATGAAGTATGAATCTAGAAAAATTGAAGTTGTCAAAAATGAAATGGAACACATAAAGATCAGTATCCTAGGCATTAGTGAGCTGAAATGGACTGGTCTTGTCATTTTGAATCACACAACCATATGATCTACTACGCTGGGAATGACAAATTGAAGAAAAATGCTCAGACATTCATCATCACAAAGAATATTTCAAGATCTATCCTGAAGTGTAATGCTATCAGTGATAGGATAATATCTGTATAGCCTGCAAGGAAGACCAGTTAATACTACTATTATTCAAATTTATGCACCAACCACCAAAGCCAAAGATGAAGAAATTGAAGATATTTTTTACCAACTTCTGCAGTCTGAAATTGACCAAACATGCAGTCAAGATGTGTTGACTACCACAGTGACTGGAATGCAAAAGTTGGAAATAAAAATCATCGGAAATTGGAAAATATGGCCTTGCTGATAGAAATAATGCTGGAGATTGCATGACAGAATTTTGCAAGATCAATGATTTATTCATTGCAAATACCTTTCTTCAACAACACAAATGGTAGTTATACACATGGACATCGCTAGATGGAGCACACAGAAATCAGATCAACTACATCTGCGGGAAGAGGTGATGGAGAAGCTCAATATCTTCAGGCAAAACAAGGCCAGGAGCTGACCATGGAACAGACCATCGGTTGCTCATATGCAAGTTAAAGTAGAAGCTGAAGACAATTAAAAGTCCACAAGCGCCCCAATATGACCTTGATTGTATCCCTCCTGAACTTAGGGACCATTCTAAAAGATAAATTTAATGCATTGAACACCAGTGACCGAAACCCAGAGAAATTGTGGGATGACATCAAGAACATCATCCGTGAAGAAAGCAAAGGGTCATTAATGAGACAGGAAAGGAAGAAAAGATCAAAATGTATAAGCTGCTGTATGGAAAATTAATTTTCTCTGTAAACTTTCACCCAAATCACAATAAAAAATTTAAAAAAGACCAAAATGGATGTCAGAAGAGACTCTGAAAATTGCCCTTGAACAGAGATTAGCTAAATCAAATGGGAGAAATGACAAGATAAAAGAGCCGAACAGAATATTTCAAACAACAGCTCGAGAAGACAAAGTCAATTATTATAATGAAATGTGCAAAGATCCAGAGTTAGAAAACCATAAGGGAAGAACATGCTCGGCATTTCTCAAGTTGAAAGAACTGAAGAAAAGTTTAAGCCTTGAGTTGCAATTTTGAAAGATTCTATGGGCAAAATATTGAATGATGCAGGAAACATCAAAAGAAGATGGACGGAATACACAGTCACTGTACCAAAAAGAATTGGCTGATGTTCATCCATTTCAGGAGGTGGCATATGATCAAGAACCAAAGGTGCTGAAGGAAGAAGTTGAAGCTGCACTGAAGGAATTGGTGATGAACAAGGCTCCGGGAATTGATGGAATACCCATTGAGATGTTTCAACTAATGCATAATGCACTGGAGGCACTCACTCAGCTATGCCAATAGTTTTGGAAGACTGACTGGAAGACATCCATATTTGTACCCATTCCAAAGAAAGGAGATCCCACAGGATGTGGAAATTATCAAACAATATCATTAATATCACATGCAAGTAAAATCTTACCAAAGATAATTCAGAAATGGTTGCAGCAATATATTGACAGACAACTTCCAGAAATGCAAGCTGGATTCAGAAGAGGATGTGGAATGAGGGATGTAATTGCTGATATCAGATGGATCTTGGCTCAAAGCAAAGAATACCAGAAAGATGTTTACTTGTATTTTATTGACTATGCAAAAGCATTCCATGTGTGGATCATAACAAATTATGGATAACGTTGAGAAGAATGGGAATTCCAGAACACTTCATTGTGCTCATGAGGAACCTGTACATAGACCAGGAAGCTGTTGTTTGAATAGAACAAGGGGACATTGCATGGTTTAAAATCAGTAAGGGAGTGCATGAAGGTTGTATCCTTTCACCATACTTATTCAATCCGTATGCTGAACAGATAATCTGAGAAGCTGGACTGTATGAAGACCATGGCATCAGGATTTGAGGAAAATGCATTAACAACCTGCAATAACACAGACGACACAACTTTGCTTGCTGAAAGTGAGGATGACTTGAAGCACTTATTTATGAATATTGAAGACTACAGTCTGCAGTATGGATTACACCTCAACATAAAAAACCAAAAATCCTTAGAAGTAGAAAAATAAAGCAGCATCATGATAAATGGAGAAAAAGATTGAAGTTGTCAAAGATTACACATTACCTTGTTCCACAATCACCACCAATAGAAGCAGCAGTCAAGATAACAGATGACATTGCACTGGGCAAATTTGCTACAAAAGACCTCTTTAAAGTGCTGAAGAGTGAAGATATCTCCTTGAAGACTAAGGTGTACCTAACCTAAGCCATGATATTTTCAGTCGCCTCATATGTGTGTGAGAGCAGGACCATGAATAAGGAATTCAGAAGAAGAGTTGATGCTTTTGAGTTGTGGTGTTGGTGAAGAATACGGAAAGTACTAGGGACTGCCAGAAGAACCAACAAATCTGTCCTGGAAGAAGTGCAGCCAGAATGCTCCTTGGAAGCGAGAATGGCCAGACTTCGTCTGACCTACTTTGATCATGTTGTCAGAAGGGACCATTCCCTGGAGAAGGATATCATGCTTGGTAAAGTGGAGGGTTGACGAAAAAGGGGAAGGCCCTCAACAAGATGGATTGACACAATGGCTGCAACAATGGGCTCAGGTATAGCAAGGATTGTGAGGCTGGCACAGGACTGGGCAGTGTTTTATTCTGTTGCTCATAGGGTCACTGTGAGTTGGAAACAAGTCAATGGCACCTAACAACAACAAATATATATGTATATGTACAGGGAGAAGTTATGAAAACTTAACAATTACAAAACACTTTGAGAGAGTGAGTCTCTGTACCTCCAGGCTCAAGGCCATAATCTTGGGAAACATCAAAGTCAATTGGCATAACATAGTCCACAAAGATACTGTTCTACATCCTAGTTTGGTGAGTAGTGACTGGGGTCTTAGAAGCTTGTGAGTGGTGACCTAAAGTAAAACTATTGGTATCTTTCTATCTGGAGCAAAGAAGAGTAAAGAAAATTAAAGACACATGGAAACAGTTTGTCCAAGGGACTAGTGAACCATGTGAACCTCAGCTTCCAGGACCCTGAGACCAGAACTAGATGGTGCCTGGCTACCACGGCCAACCACTCTGAACAGATCACATTAGGAGATCTTGGATAGAGTGGGAGAAAAATGTGGAACAAAACTCAAAATAATTAAAAAAAAAAAAAGAAAAACAGGCTTACTGGTCTAATAGAGACTGGTGGTAACCCCAAGACTATGGCTGTTAGTCACTCTTTAGCAGAAGTCACTCCCGAGGCTCAGCTTTCAGACCGACAATAGACGGACCTATGAGAGAACAATAACACCAGGGAGGTATGCACTCCTTAGAACAATCAACCACATGAGATCAAAGGACAGCATTTGCCAAGGGATAAAACTCAGGTGGCAGGAATGTAGAGGAAAGAACAAAGGGAAATAGTAACCACAGGAATGAAGTGGGAAGAGTGTTGTTACATTGTGGGGATTTGCAATCGATGTCTCAAAACAAAATGTGTATGAACTCTTGAAAGAAAAATCTGTAAACTTTCACCCAAATCACAATAAAAGTTAAAAACAAGAAAACCCTACAGAACACAGTTCTACTCTGACACACAAGGAGTCACCATGAGTCGGCATCGACTCTGTAGCACTGGTTGAGGAGTTTCCTACTTAAAGGACTTTTCATGTTTCATGCTTCTCAAAGTAGAGGTGTGGGCAGCAATATAAAATAATGCTTCATTGAATGAAATTAAGCAAATGGAGAGCAAGCATTCAGGGATGTTCCTAGAGAAGAAATAGCAAACAAATACATAAAGGAATAATAATAAACTTAAAAAGAGAGAGAGAGGGAAAGAGAGAGAGAGAGGATCAACTATACTGGCAGGGAACAATAATTAACTGACTCAGAGAAGCAAACTACATGACTTACATAAATAATCACTGCAATTTTTGCAGCATTGTCTACCATTCTGAAATGCTTTCTGTCTTGGTTCTCTGATTCTGCTATAACAGAAATACACAAGTGGATGGCTTTAACAAACAGGAATTTATTCTCCTACAATTTAGGAGGCTAGAAGTCCAAATTCAGAGTGCTGGCTCTAAGGGCTTGGTGAAGGCCCCTCAACTTTGGGCTTCAGCTCTTCCCCTTGTTCTAGGCCCACTGGAGCTTGAGGCTTCCCTTAACTCATGCAGCTGCTGGCTGCTGAGGTTGACAAACCAAAGGTCGCAGGTAAAATGGCACAATCCTAGCATGAGCAGGTAACATAGCAGGCCACTAGTTCAAGTCCAGGAATCATCCCAAGATCAGCAGGCAACACAGCAGGCCACAGGTTCAAGTTTAGGAACTGGAGATGAAGACTCAGTCAAATGCAGTATCCAAAATGAGCCAAAAGATAGAGACCTTTCACAAAACTTCTCTTTATATACTAGAAGCAGTCCACACCCTGAAGGCAACTACTTAGCTGCTTACAGCAGGTTCACTATGGAGGTGATTACAATCTCCTCATGGGTTTATAAGTACATCCAGCTGCCCAGCCATTCAAAATGACAGTGCAAGCGAATTGATGCACAGCCTTAATTACCAGATTTTCATATTAGATTTCTTGGTTGGACAAACATCAGACTCACTTTCTGCAAAATATTCTTTTCTTCTTCATTGTTTCCAGAATTCAATGTGGAAAACAAAGAGCTTTTAGTCAAAGCAAACATAATTTTTCTTTTTGTAAAATAGTTATAGAGATATGCTTGCTCCATTAATAAAAATGATGTACCCCAATGGTATATGGTGCTGTTTATAGAAATTGAAATCACAAATAAGACAAAAATATAGGGATAATAGATAAATGAGAGGTAGCAGAACAAAAATATCACTTAAATACTAACAAAAATTACAAAATAAGAATTTGAAAGTTTTAGAGAAAGCCAAACCAAAAAACCAAACTCACTGTTGTCAAAACGGATCAGACTCAAAGCGGACCCCTCCTTGGGTTTCCAAAGCAGTATCACTATGGAAGTAGATTGCCCAATCTTCCTTCCAAGGAGTGGCTGGTGGGTTTGAACCACCACCCTTCTGATTAGCAGTCAAATGCCTTAGGCACTTAGTTGCCACCAGAGCTTCCTAGAGAAGGCCAGTGCTGACAAAATCAAATCAGTTCCCAAACCACCAAATTGTGTTGATCAATCAAAATCAATTAGGATGATGCCCATGTTTCTGGCCTAGGTGATTGGGTGGAAAATATTTTATCAAATAGGATATTTCTAGCATGGCACTTTCTTGATCAGGGTTAGAAGGGAGTTGTATGTTTCCTAGGCTGCTAGAACAAAATGTCATAAACTGGATGGCTTACAAAAACAGATGTAAGAATAGCTCTGGGAAGTCAAAGTCCTAAATCGAGTTGTCAGCCATGTTGATTCCTTCTGAGGCTGTGAGGGAACGTTTGTTCCATGCCTCTTTCCTAGCTCCTGGTATGTCCAACTATTTCTTCACTTGTAGCTTCAGATAGTCATATGGTATCCTTTCTCTGTATCCTTACCTCTGTGTATCTTCTCTTTTATAAGGACTGCAGTCATATAGGATTAGGACCAACCCTACTTCACTATAATTTCCTATTAACCTTGAACCACCGAGCTTTCGATTAGCAGTTGTATGCTTTAACCACTGCACCACCAGGACTCTTTAACCTAACTGATAACATCTTCTAAGACCTTGTTTCCTAATTGGAGATACAATTTAATCCTTAAAAGGAATTTTGATGGAGACCCACCAGTCTGTGCTCTGAATCCCAGGAGAGGCTGGTGAAGAACAAATACCCTTGTCTAGTTCTGGTCTTGCTGTTGGTGACCATTGTGACTTGCAAGGGAACACCAAAAGACTTTGCAACTGTTAGAAAGAATGGAAAGTTCCCTAATGAAAATGATCCCTTCATTTTGTTGAAACTTCCAGAAATCCTTTTAGTAGAGAACAAAACCTTTCACTCCTTAGCAAAAGATAAAAGGCTTAAAATGCAAATGCTTCCTTGAAGGCTTACATTGACTGACACTCATTCTCCCCAAAGTATAATCATTCAATCAGTAGAAAAATGCACCTGACAGAGGCAGGGGGGAGTTGAGGGCTCTGGGTACCTGAATCCAGGGAAGAGAAGCCGTTGCAGGAAAGAGATGCATAGGAAATGTGAGAGTGAAGACAGGTTTTTGTGGTGTGTCCACCCTGTTTGCCTGCAGCTCTGTTATTACAAAGAATGTTTTGCACAGGCTGTTGTGATGTTGTGTGACTATACATAGATTAGCAGTAACTTGGCCATGAAGCCACATCCTCATGGAGAGTCAACATTGCTTTGCATGGCTAACATGTATATTTGTTTTTAACGAGGCCAACTTTTTAATAAAGAAGCTTCATTCCCAGGGACTTTGCTAACAGAAGTATCTCTGTAAATGACTAAGCTAGGAAATGTCTGTGATGTTTGACACAACATTATAAAAT